AAATATTAACAAACCCCCCCCCAAATCCTTTTTTGGGGGGTGGGGGGGAAATTTTTGACAACCTGCGCCCACCCCAAGGAAGGAAACCCCCCCCCCCCCCCCCCCCCCCCCCCCCCCTTCCTGCTGCCACCGACATCTCACCTCCGGTGGTGGCCTTCTCCTTGCTGCTGGACGCCGCCGTCGCCGCCGCTAGCCGCCTGCCGGCGCCGCCAGCGCCGCGGGCCCTCGCTCGATCGGCAGTCCCCTGCTGCTTCCTCAGGGCGAGCAGCCGCAGCAGGTGCTCCTCCGTCTTCTTGAGCTTGTCGCCCATCTTGCCAACCTGAGCAAGGACGGACGTTCAATCAGCAGAGATCAAGATGGTACAGCAATACGAACAGAAAAATACCACACCGTCCGGAAATGAAAGGACAATTCGGATACTAACGTGATCGTCCCAATGGTCCGTTTATTTCCCCAACAAAAAAAGTTGGTAAGCCTAAACTTCATACAAAAGAACATATACCACTCTGTTCTGTTCGGAAATACAACGACCACCTCTGTTCGGAAATATAAGGACATTCGAATACCAATAACATGATCGTCCCAATGGTCCGTATATTTTCCAACGAAAAAAGCTAAGAAAAAAAATCTCCATACATAACAACATATACCACTCTGTTCTGTTCGGAAATACAACGATCATTCGGATACAGTAGTGGGCCCTGTATAGTGCTGATGTGTTTCCAGAGATTTTATGGGCATTATACCGGGCCACCCGCACTATGAAAAACAGGGACATTTGAATATATAGGTTTTAGTGTGGGAGTGGACGCTCACTCGTGTCCTGAGATTTGACCGGCACTATAACGGACTGTGGCACTATACAGGGCCCACCGCTGCACTAAGGTGATCGTCCCAATGGTCCCTCTACTTCCCAACAAGATTGGTACTATAGTAAACACACGCTTCATACATACATCAAAACATCCCACAATACGACGTGACGGTGGTGTTGTGGCCGTTGCCAAAAACACCCCAAGCAATGTTGCCATGCGCACCAAGCAAGCTTTTCTACCTATACCTGGGTCCCACCTATCAACCCTCGCCATAAAATACAGAACAAACATCACAATAGTTAGTGTAGGCACGGTGGGAGAGGTCGGCGCATGAAAGGAGGGGGGGGGGGGGGGTTGCACCTGAGAGGTCTTCCGGGCGGTGGCGGCCTTCTGCCTGCGGACCTCGAGCTCCATCTTGCTCATCGACCGGAGGTCCTTGCTGTTCTTCTTGCGCATGGCCTGGGCCAGAGGGCGAAGGGATTAATTGCAGGGGGGTGGAGAAGGCAGCAAGGAAAGAAAGGCAGACAGAAATCGTCACCAACAGCATGCCCTTACGTAGTTTCACACCAAGTTACCTTTCCTGCGGAGAGGGCGGCAAAAGTGCTGAACGTTACAGGTTGGTTGTTCCGCATCTTTTACGAACACGATAAGATCTATCGTGGACACGTAAGAGGGCACATGCTGAATCTCCGCAAGTAGGTCGCAACACCACCCCCAAAAACAACGCATTTCCGCTACTACAGCAGGAGCGGCACGTTCATGAGAAAAATTGCTTTTGGTCCGAGGCTCAACGTTGATCACAAGATATAGCTATTCTACGGCATGTCGTGTTTAGCCTTATGTTCACACTTTTCCTCATACTCTCAAGCACTGAGCCTCTGATTTCGTAATGCTTGCATTCTGGCGCTGCGGTGGGTGAAACAGGAAGTTCGGTATCTCCGTGACTACCAATGAACGACTTGATTTTGTATGCATGGGTGAACACCTGAATATCCCTCGACATCCTATCTGTGAGTAAAATACCGACAAGAGACAGCAAGAACATTATTGTCTGTGAAAGGCACCTGAATCTCCCTCGACATCCGCTGCTCGTACTCCCGGTGCCGCTTTGCCGCCTCCTGCTGCCTCTTTTGGAGCACAACCTGAAGCAGGTAACGCAATGGCATCGTTGTCGTTGCTGTCGTTGTGTAGCCTCGTGATCATTGATCTCGGTTGTGTTGTTATTGGCGGTAGAGCTCAAAACGCTGCGGCTGCTGCTCCTGCTGTTGTAGCTTTCTTCAGAGCACGGACTTCTTTACATGTAGCGTGAGCTCCTACTCCTTCAAGCCTTGAAACCAACAAGAAAAAGCCTCCAGCAACACAGAAGTGTTCGTATCTCGGTTCACCCAAGCCGACGCAGAGGGAACCCGTATACTAAGAGGTTGTCGTGCACAACAATGCGCACTATCGCCAACCACAGAGGTTCAGTAAGCGGCGCCGAAGTACCAGCACTAGAGGATACTGTACACGTTATCCTTAGCCCCGCATCCTCACCTTCTGGCGCTTGAGCTGGCCGAGTCCCTCCTGCAGGTCCTCGCACTTCTTGGCCTCCCTCTTGAGGAGCATGACGGCACGCTCCTGCTTCTTCTTCTGGGCTCCCAGTGATGCCAGCTGACTCTCCACGCCCTGCATCGTCATCATCATCATCATCGCTAGCTAGTATAATCATCATCATCATCACCATAAATAGCATCGTCGTCATCATCGTTCTCAGTATCACCATCACCATCACCACCACCATCACCATAATCAGCATCGTTATCATCACCACAATCAACATCGTCATCATTACCATCATCATTACCACCACCATCACCACCATCTCATCATCATCCTCACAATTGTCATCGTTTCTCGTCACAGAAACAAACAAACCCGGAAGCCACGCCCTAGCCGAGAAAAATGACAGCAGTGCTTACTCACGGAACCAGGCCAAAACCCGCCCCAACTAACGTGGTTGACGGACCGCACCTTCAGGCGCTCTCTAAGAGCTTCCGCGGTGCCCCTTCCACCCCCACCCCCCCCACCCCTGCTCGACTCCTTGGCGGAACCGTTCGGCGTCGTGGCGTTTTTCATGGTCTCCAGTAGGGTAAGCTTCTCCTGCTCGAGGTCCCCGATCTTCCCGACCAGCATGTCGAACCGCTCCCTGGGGAAACACAACAACAACAACAACAACAACAACAACTTTCAGACGTCAATAACAACAACAATAACCGCAACTACAAGTGGGGGGGGGGGGGGGGGGGGGGGGAAAACAAAAAACCGGGATGGCGGAATCCTTTAAAAAATTACTTCCCCTCCCT